CTATGGTCTTCCTTATTCACTGTCCAGCTTTCACATGCATATGAGGTTATTGAAAATACCATGGCTTGGGTCAGGTGCACCTTAGTCTTCAAGCTGGCATCTTTGCTTTTCACCATTTTATAAAGGTCTTGTGCAGCAGATTTGCCTAATGCAATATGTCGTTTGATTTTCTGACTGCTGTTCCCAAGAGTGTTGATGTTCATCCAAGTAGAATGAAGTCCTTGACAACTTCAGTTTTTTCTACATGATAAGAATGTTGTCTATTGGTTCAGTGAAGAGGATTTTTGTTTTCTTGACATTGAGTTGCAATCCATGCTGAAGGCTGTGGTCTTTGATCTTCATCAGTAATTATTTTAAGTTCTCTTCACTTTCAGCAAGCAAGGTTGTATCATCTGCATTTCGCAGGTTGTTAATGAATCTTCCTCCAATCCTGATGCTGTTTTTCTTCATAGAACCCACTTATTTGCTCAGCATACAGCTTGAATAAATATGGTGAAAGAATACAACCCTGTCTCATACCTTTCTTAATTTTAAATCATTCAGTGTTACCTTGTTCTGTTAGAACAACTGCTTCTTGGTCCAGGTACAGATTCCTCATGAGCACAATTAAGTGTTCAGTAATACTCATACTTTGCAATGTTGTCCATAGCTTGTCAGGATCCACACAATTGAAAACATTTGCATAGTCAATAAAGCACAGGTAAACATCTTTCTGGTATTCTCTGCTTTCACCCAAGATCCATCAGACATCAGCAATGATATCCCTCGTTCCATGTCCTCTTCTGAATCCAGCTTGAACCTCTGGAAGTTCTCTGTCAATGTATGCTTGTAGCCATTTCTGTATTACCTTTAGTAAAACTTATCTCGCTTGGGATCTCAAAGATATTGTCTGATGATTTCTGCATTTCGTTGGGTGCACCTCTCTTTGGGATAGACACAAATATGGATCTCTTCCAATCAGTTGGCCAGATAGTTGTCTTCCAAATTTCTTGGCATAGATGAGTGAGTGCTTCCAGTGCTGCCTCACTTTCTTGATCATATGCTACCACTTTCTTGATCATATGCTACCACTTGAAATGGCTGAACATAAACCATTTCCTTTTGGTAAAATGACTCTATGTATTCCTTACATCTTCTTTTGATGCTTTCTGCATCATTAAATAATGTGCCCAGAGAATCCTTCATTAACAAAAGTCAAGGCTTGAATTAGTGACTCTTATTAAAAACCACTATTTGTTGTTGCTAAATACTATGAAGTTGGTTCTGACTTATATTTACCTCATATAGGGTTTTTAAGGCTGTAAATCTATGCAGGATCAGAACGCCTCATCTGTCCCCCAAATGACAGCTGATGTGCTTGGGCTACAGAACTTATTTTTAACAGTCCACTGCTTATCATATAGTGGCACCAGTACTCAAAAAACTGTTATACATTTCTCAAAATGTTAACATGATAGACTTTAAGGAAGTTGATTTGTAACTACAGGTTGTAGGTAAATTGGATATTCATAGTCCAAGGACTGTCTGTATATATAAAAAAATATATATAGGGCAGGGCTTGATGGTGGCTGGGCTGGAGATGCAGTGAAGTTCACCGTCAGCCATACCACAGACTGCCAGGCAAAGCAGATCCAGGGCAGAGCTCCAAAACTCGGAACCACATAGCTATGAATATTTTAAAAATATGAAGGCTTATAGCTAGTGGAACTTGAAGCTGAAGTAAGAAATCACATACTTTTGAATCCGCCGGGCTCAGAAGCCTGGAGCAGACATCTTGGGCTAGACCAAATGGCAAGACAAGCAGGGGAGCAGACACACCACAGAAAATCGCTGTGGGAACCTTGGAGCAAAAAGTGGACAATACACTTTGTTAGTTTTGCTTTGTTTTGATTTTCTTTTTTCAATCTGGTCATTGCCCCTCCCCTGCCCCCACTGTTTGTGCACTTACATTCTGGTGACTAGAGGGAGTGCCTGAGCACCTGTACCCTCACCACTGGTGGGTACTCCTGCCACACATGCACACAGATACTCAGCCCAAGAGAAGGCCCTGAACAATTTCTTTTTTTTTTAGATACAGAAAATGCCAGGACGGGGCTGTAGAGAGAGAAAGAGAGTTTAAAAACAAAACAGGCCAAAAATTAAATTAAAGCCTGAGGTATAGCATAACAACCAACAGTGGCATCTTGAAATCTCTTAGGCAGCTTTGAAAGTGAGAAGCTGAAGAGAGGACATTAAAGTCATGCTCATATTAGGCTACAGATTTAATTTTTCTTCTTCTTCTTTTTTTTTTTTTTCTTCTCTCCCTCCTCTCCCTTTTCTGTGATTACAGACTGCATTATTCAGTCTAGTTTTGTATTGTTGTTGTTGTTTTGTTTTGTTTTTCTGGTGCTGTTTTGCTGTTTTATGCTCCCCCTTCTACCTTTGGGGGACTCTTTCTCTCCCTATATTACCGAAGAAGAGTCAGCAACTGCTGCCATATAGCCAAGCTACAATCACACTCTATAAAACACCAAAACCCA